AGCACAGCCTTTCTGTCCTTACGGGAAGGAGGTCAGCATCGGTGCGGTCCCCTCCCTTCTGTTTACCAGCTACTGGCAGAGTCTGCAGGTCTGTCTGAGGGCGGACTGTCCAGGATGACTTCATCACACATTACCTTTCAAACACCGTTTACAGAAGTCTGAGGGTCAGAAAGTTACGTATGGTTTCTCAGGAATCCTCCATACTACTCCAGCGTCTTACGCTGAGCACCCCCAATCACCTCCCTCCCTCCTGCTAACTCAGTGTTGCGCTCCTACACCACAAGCTCCACCACACAGTTCAATTAACTTCTGTATTTTTACATATTAACCCAATTAAGATGCATCACCACTGGGAAAAAACCCACAAAACTTAAGACGTATGTAATCTTAAACACCAACTCCCCTAAAACTTTGTTTAGTAACACCCACGCTGTTGCCTTCACAAATTCCATACCAAAAAAGCTCGAATCAGAGTTTGGGCTGTTAAAACAGTTCAGGACAGGACAGACAACGAAACAGGTATTTCACAGCTAAGCAAAGCTGCAGTCTCTGTAGTGAAGCCACGCTAAATTTCATTTTCAGTGGTACTACTTTTCTCATACACTTTCTACCTTCCCTGCTAAGTGAGCTGAAGGAGGCGGCTGGAAGCAGACCCAAGGTTGACTGGATTATGGGAAGCAGAAATGAAGAAACCAGCCTTTCTGGTACAGCCTTGTGGATTTCTAGCTGAAGATCAGTCAAGGCTTCCAGTCTGAGCAGGATCTATTAATATTTAAATGGCTTTTGCAACAGTACTGTGGCCCTTGGCGGCAGCTGAGGTTTCAAAATAGCTCATGCTACCAAAAGCGAGAATGAGCTACCCCGGGTGTCGGTCATAAGCGAGTCTTCCTGCCAAGTGAACGCACTTTTACGTACTGTCCTCCTAGTTCACCGCAGTCACTCACCAAGAGGAATGGTCCTTTAGCTGCCCAGTCTCTGGAACTTCCTGCTCCGTACTCCTTCCCAGCCAGCACAATCAGAGGGTGACCAGCCTGCTTGTATCTTTCTGCAGCATCAAACACGTCCAGCTGCAGTGAAAATGCCAAA